CCCCCCCTCTCCTCCGCTGGTCTGACTAATTAGTGTGTTGCTCATTAGTAGTTGCTTTGAGAGAACCCATGCTTGCATGTCACTTACATCACAAATCACTCTTCCAGAGCAGATAATGAGATGCAAATACAATGCTTAAAAGTAGATTGTAAATAATACAGAGTATACCACAGGTCTCCCAGTAATAATGCTAATTTCTTGTTTTGATATGCTATCTGTTATGAACCAGAAAACACCAGGACCCGGGACGTATGACAAGACATTCCAGACTCCAATGCCGGCTACTATCAAGAAGATGGGCAGAAGTCATGGGCTGTTTTTTACTTGTGGTGCCTACTAAAAAGAAACAGTGTTGCAGACAGCATGGTGCTGAGTATAGTTTGTGGGTTGCTACCCTGGTTCAATGAACAACAACCACAAACGTTAGGGTGTTATCGTTGTATTAAAATGGTCGAAATAATGGATTTAAAAATGATAATAAAAATGAAAAAATTAAACCAAGTTACAAAGGAATGAAGTGGCCCATGTAATAGGGGATCCAGGTGTGGTTCCATAGATACCCCCTTTCGTGAAGCCGATGTGCGCGCGGCTCCTAACATCCTTTACATGTAATACCCTCGCATCTTTGCACTCGATCTAATCTAATCTTTTGCATTTGCTTTTACAAATTTTTTAAAACTTGAAAAAAATTGACCGAAATGGAAAAACGATTATGTGATAGACAGCACAAGCCAAGCATTTTATTTACAAAGTTGAATAAAATGTCCAAAAAGTTTTTTAAAGCATTGCAAACTGGTATTCTAAGGTGATGGGGTTATTTTAAGGAAAACAAAACCCTTTCAGCACTAAGTGACGTCCATTGTCATTCAAAAATATTATAACACGGTTGAAGTGCTCTAAGTGCGTCAAACCAGTTTGATCGTCACAGTATAGTGAGCACAGAAAACCATAGTGCCGCAAAACAGTTCATACGAAAGTGCTTATTCAAAAATATGGATGTCACAGAACGAGTGTGACAAGCCATACCTTTAAATGATCTCGGACATCTTACAGACAAAGGTCAAGACAAYGAGACGGTTTGCTTAACATCATGTTGTCTGAATCACGAGCGTAAAGATGTCAGCAGCAAACAAAATACAAATCCGTATCCAAGAACGGGATAAGCCGTGCTGTTGGTAAGTTTTGAAACATTTCATATTTTTTTGATGATAATATAAATATATACAGTAAACACAAAGCCACTTTGTATCTTTTAGCTTAGTCATGACTCCTGAAATATCATATTGTACGTCAGGCATGGACTCGCCAAAGTGTCCAAGTCACTGAACACACTCCACTTGAATAATATGTACTTTTAATGAGGGCAGATGATAATTAATATCGCCAATATAATTCTAGTAAGTCGGCCTTGTAGTTACACAAGTCAGGATGCTGTGTGTTTAGCATTCTCGCATTCATTTTGACTCATTTTATGATTAATGCGTCATGCCATGGAAGACTGTTAGCAACGGTGAACGACTTAAGTTTAATTGACTGATAATCCCTTAAAAAAGAACCTATTAAAGCTATACGTCATTGAAGTATCTTAAGCAAAGGAAAATGTGCTCTTCAACGCTTGCTGTACAGCAAAGCGAACGGAAGTCGATGGAGTCTTCGTAGTTAATTGATTGTTGCAAGCATTTCCAAGAGAGTCAAGATGACAAAAACATGGCGGCTATTGTGGTGCCGTTTACAATGGATGCTAATGAGAAATATTTTGTTAAATGGCACCAACATGGCCGCGTTGACGTTAATGTGCAATCGAAGAATAATTTTTTTTCTTCTTCCGCGGTCGTTGGTATAAACTAACACATCACATCACCAAGTATTTTTTTCTTCACCTCAATATTAAAAGTCATGTATTGTTGGAAAATAAATATATCTGTATGGAAAACTATAACATGCATATTACATATTAACCTCTCAATAACGACCACCATTGGTCGCCTGTCAAATAGATGGTCGGTTTTTTGGGTCAAGGGATTATGTTATTAGTACAATAAAATGTGATATTTTTATCTACCAGAGCCTTAATGGATCGCAATTATTTATTAAAAGATGGAAAAAGAGAGAAGGAAGCGGCAGAGACTTCATTGGAGAGGATAAGACGAAGCATTGAGGGCGCTTTAGAAAAAGAAAAAGAAACTGTGCAGAAAGAGGCTGTTAACCGATACATAAGAGATGCTTCGTTAAGAATGAGTTTGAACCTGCCAATCAAACCAACAAAAAGCCATTTAAAAGAAGATCAAAATCACGAACAGAAAAACACTTTGAAAGGAAGTGATTATAAATTACCCAGCTTGCAACACGGTGATGGATCTCCAATCAGAAGGCCGGTCCCTGAACTACACATGCTCAATACTGAAAATCCCGCTAGACCAAACACTTCAAATACCAACATGTCTATTGATACTTTTTCGCCCAGCCCAAATAAACCAAATATACGGCTTCCTCCTATTATCATAGATACAGGACAGCAGGAAAAAGGTGGTAAAAGAAAACGAAAAAAGGACGAGTCTAATGAGGTAAATAAACAAAAGAAAAAGTCCCCAGAAAGGTTTACCGGTAAACCTGCAAAGACACGGTTAGAAAGTGTTTCTCCTACTGAGGAGGATTTTAATGTTGTTATGTGCGGCCGTTCACCTAGAGTAATTAATGAAACCAAAGAATTATTTGTATCCAAACATGGACGCTTTAAAAGCAAATAACGAATATCAGAAGCATTGAATTTCGCATACAGTAAATCATACCGTGCATTTGTACAATGCAAAAAAATATATACACCTAACCAAAACGAAACAATAAGAAAACAAAAGACATATACATTTTTTATTACGTAAAGGTGCAGAATTCTTATGGTTAGGCATATATATATATATATATACACACACTGCGGTTTGTATAAACTTTGACCATTTGTGCATATATACAAGTATATCAAAAGTATATCAAAAATTGTGTGATATGATCCCTGATATTGTTTTCGAGTTGTCTAGCACTAGGGCTTTCTGGAAAAAAATATCAGGGGTGACATGCCATAGTTTCTGATCATACTTTTGATATACTTGTATATATATATAAATGGTCAAAGTTTATGCAAACCGCAGTATGTATATTTATATATATGTATGTATGTAATAAATAAAAATTTGAACTGACATTTCTGCAAAGTCAAACCTTATTTTGACATTATACACTTTTGACTTGATCATGAATGTCTTACTGAGTGAAAGGAGGAGGGCTACAAACATTTAACAAGTTTACTGTGTATACCCCAGCTTTCCACCCCCCCCCCCTCCCCCACCCCACCTTACCCCCAATGACAAACGTACCTTATTCTCGCCACAAGATATAAGTGCTATTGTTGGCAAAACGGTCTGTCGCCGAAAAGGGATTACAACGAATTATACCTAAAATGTTTCAAGATATCATGCACAAATTTATGTTAATAGTGTTCATCGATTTAGACCTACGGTTGGGTGCATGGATTTTTAAATGCACTCGCCTCTAAATTAATAGCACGTATTTCAGATTCAACTGGTTGAGTTATAGCTGAGAATTGTTTCTAGTCTTTCTCTATCTTTAATACAATCACCAGACTTTAAGTTCTTTGCCATTTCATTGGCCTCTTCAGCAAATGTTCTAGCTTTTTCTTTGTTCCCCATTTCATCATGTAGATGAGCTAACCCCTCCTTCACCAAACACTTGTACCTATGATTTTCTTTAAGATTGTTTTCTGCAATGGTTATTGCCTTCATGAAGTGTGTTTCGCTGTCTTCATATTTTTCCAATTTCCTACAGCAAATGCCTTTGTTTTTCAAAAGCAAAATCATATGGGTTTCTGAATCACTATTCAAGTCGGTCAACATATCAATTGCCTTATTATAAATATCATTTGCCTTCTTATAGTAGTCTAGTGCTTGCTGCTCATTATCACCATCTCGCAATTGAGCATCACCTTGAGTCAAATATCCATCTGCAATGTCTTTAAAACTAATAGCTGTCTTTATGTGTAGTCCTAAATGTTTCTCATAAATGGCATTCGCCTGCTTATACTTTTCCACTGCTTTTTTGAAATCTTTCTTGCCCTTCAAGCTGTGTCCTAGCTCCAAGTTAGCTCTTGTATAATCTTCATTCAGCCTGGAATCGTTGTCTTCCTTTTCCATACAAAACTCGATGATTTCTTCAAAAGCCTTGACTCCCTGTTCATAATTTCGTTTGTAAACAAAGTAACGTCCTTTGGCAGAATTGTAGCATATTTTAGCTCTGTCATCAATTTGTAAGCCACTCTGGTATACTTTGTCAGCCTGTTTCAGTAACTTCTCATATTCTTCGTTGTCACCTTTTCTTCGAGCCATATGGCCCTTCCAACATAGTGATTCTAATTCTCGACTAGGCAAGTCGTTCTTCTTGGCTAAGGTAATGAAGTTATCCAGCAACCTTCCTAGCAGATCCCAAGAGGTGCAGGCCACAAGGTACAAAATAACGTTAGTCAGTTCATCTAGTATTCTCTTAGTGTTTTCCATTCTTGTTTCATTCAGATCCACAGGAACACAAAGCGAAAGTTCCAAAGCTTTCTCGAAATTTTGCCTGTCTTCACGGAAAGCACTCAAAGATTGCTTACAAGAATCTTTAGTCCAGTACAACTTTGTATTTTCTAAAAGTAAAGACTGAAAATAACTTAGAAAATTCAATTTTCCTTCTTCAAGAAGATATTTGTTTTTTTCCGCATTGCCATAATCAACAACAAACTCGTGAATAAACGGATGAAGACTATATTTTCTTTTTTCGCGTTGCAAAAGACTTTTTGCATACAGTTTCATAAGCACCTGAACTGCATCATCCAGGTCATCCACTCCCATAACTGCCAACGCGGAATCAACAGCAAAAAACCTTGGAAAAATCGTAAGCCTTACTAAATGACCACGCAACGTATCATCGAGTTTTTCAAACGATAAGGAAACGGCTTCTTTCAATTTTTTTATATTTTCCACTGGCTTTGATAACTTCTTGATTAATTCGTCAGTTTTGTAATCGTCCAGCAAAGGGATGACAATGCGTAAAGCAAGCGGTATATTGRAACATAACTTGACAATCTCTTGTTTACGGTCGTTAGTTAATTCAGASCTGYCTSTTGTTTCTTCTGAGAGAACACGGTTTATGAATTCTAAACTTTCATTTTGTTCAAACGGTTTGAGAGTTATATCTTTCCTAGGCACGTCAATGGCGTCAAAATTCAAGATTTCGCGCGAGGCAATCAAATAATTTACATTTAGAGAAGAAAATTTTCTTAATTCTAGCAGAATCTTTACGAGGCATGACATACCAGATTCACAGTTGGCATCATTTCCCGTTCGTGGCTCACTGCTGCTCAAAACATGTTCAGCATTATCCAACACAAGAATCACTTTTCGGTCCAAGTTTCTGGCCCAGATATTGAGTGCTTCTCGGGGTTCGTTTTCGACTTTTGTACCCCGGTATAAGGTGTAATTTATGGTCTTTGATATCTCTTCTTCAGTTGCTTTACAGCGGCACAAATCAACAAAGTAGACAGTTTTGTTATGTTCATAAACAAGATGCCACGAAGCTTTCTTGATGAGGGTCGACTTACCGATTCCAGCCATACCGTGGATTAACACATAAGGTATGTCATCGATAGTTTTTGCATCTATAATTTCTTTCAGCTCTTCTTTTCGGGCAATAAAAATTGAGGGTTCGTCGGGAATGCAACTCTTAACTGTCTCCTGTTTCTTTCGATTTTGAAGCTCCTCTTTTATCTCCTCAATTTGGGCATGGTTGGTAGAGATTTGAGCTCCATACTCGTTTATTTTCTCCTCTAGGTTCTCTATCCTGTGCTCGTGATCGCACAGTGTTTTAAACCGTTCTTGGATTTCAGAACTGTCATCGATCGGGGTAACTTTGAGTTTCTCTATTTCGTCTTCTGGAAGACCCAAAGCCATCAAAGGTGAAGATAGTTCGTTCCACAATTCTTCAAACTGTTCGTCACTGATTCCACTTCCTGGAAGATGTTGAATCTTGTTTCTAAATAACTTGATTCTTACAATGTTAGCTTCCTTGCTCTGGTCTGAAGGAGATGGCTCCTTTCCCCATCCTGTAGGAGGAGCTGTTAGACTACAAATGTTTCTCAAAAGTAATGTCAGTAGAGTGATATCAAAGGTTTTTGAGTCTGGTTGTCCATCAATGGGAAACAATAATTCGATTTGACTAGGAAAACATTTCTTCCTGAGATCTGTTTCGTGGGTTTTCAGGACGCCAGGTAAAGCACTGTTAGAATGGATGCCGTCGAACAGTTTTCTTAACACTTGCGATCCTCCATCCAATAGCAATCTCCTAAGCCTCGTACCGTTCGTTTTTTCCTTCGTGCTGTCATCACACATTCTGCTCGCGATTTCGTTGTGAAATTCCAATCGTTTCTTTACATTTTGCGTAGACCCCGCACCTTCCTCGCACGATTATTATTCCATTTTGTGATCTCTTTGAAATTCAACTACGCCATTTTTAAAGCTATTCAACGACGCCAGACTATTTACTAAACTGTTCCAATAATGAAGTTTGACAGAAACCCAGGCTAACTCTATAGCTGTTGAATGAAATTCGACAGAGCTAGACTACGATTTCTCAGTCGAAGGATATTCAAATTACACTTTACAAATTCTGCCAATGGACCAATGGTAGGCCTTGGGTGAAGAAAACACCTGTCACTGAGCTGCATGTCTAGACCAAATATTCTACCTAAAGTAAGTATAGTAATGTGTGCAAGAATAGCAAGCATATGAATAACATTATATATTATGAATGCTATGAACTCGATTCTTTGACATGTTTTAGAGAACTATGATATGATTTAGTGTAGAAAATTTCAAATCGTTGCATTGTTTTGTTTCCCGAGTTGTGCGAATCTTATTTTCTAATCGGTAATCCTCACCTTACGCTGATAAGGTGTCTGAAAAATCAGAAACATTTTTGCTCAGTAGCTCTACATGGTCATAAGGATTGTTTTTTGATTGGCACCAAAAAAATACTTTTGCACCAGCAAAATACACGCGGTTGCAAACGAAGAATTGTGGGGTTTCAAGGAGGCTGTGGGTAGTTTTGGTCTGGCACACCTAGCCGCATTGAAACGGCCACAACTTTGTCTTGAATAACTCGATCTGCAAGCTCTTTTCACACATCAATGTCAGGAAAGGAGCGTTTTCCAAATATTACGCGATGAATATTTTCATGGACTTTTACTATTATTTCCAGCGTGTCAACTTTATACCCTCAAAATCGGGACTTTAATTTAGTGGATTCAGTATTCCTAGTAGCTAGAATATAGGTATGGATATAGGCACTGTCCTTATTGAGTATGAATCAAATTGTGACTTTCTTTCCAACGTTATGGATTTTTTGATATGAAGCTAAATAACCCCATTTGTTGTCAAAAGCGATAGAAAATATCGATGAAAGCGGCAATTAAAAAATCGTCGAACGATTTTTTTCTTAATGAAGTCACTAAATGATGTATCTTTTACAAATATTCTCCTTTAATTCCATATGCATTGAAAGGTTTTAAGGCAGTCAAATAAAAATAAGTACGCCCACAACTATTTTCGCTCACGGCTGCTTGTTTAATATTCACGCTTGACTTCCGTGTTATTACTTATCGCGTGCTGTAAGTTTTGAGCGTACTTATTTGTACTTATTTTGAGCGATGAGTACGAGTACGAGTACGAGTACGAGTAAGGCTAAATCGTAGTCGATTTCCGATTCTTTACAATCTAAAGTTTCAATCTATTTTATACACGATCAAGACCACAAAGAGATAGTGCCAATTTTTAAAAGTTTTAACTCGGACTCGTTCTCGTACTCGTCGTCGGATCTAAAGGTCTCGATTAAAGGAGACACAACAACCACGATGTGACCAGACTCTAGTGTATATTTGTAGTCAAATACGAGAGGCAGAGCTTGATAAATTAGAGATTTGCCAAATCCTGATGGAAGATTGACAAAAATATCTTTTTTCTCTTCGACTAAAGTTTTGATAGCCGACTTCTGATGCGCATTTAGATCAGGAATACCGAACTTTGAAGACAGGAGGCCAAACATGTACACTTCTTCTATGAACGAGTTGAGAATGCGAAATAAAAGCTGCACGGTGATTGGTCAGATCAAAAGTCCGCGAACGGTTCTCTACATATGTAAACCGTCTTGTGATTGACCAAACAATGAGAAAGGAATCTAGTTCGAATGCAAGCAGCCGTTTGTGGGGAGGGAGCGTTGCGTGACGAGCGACACTAAAAACTTATGCGAGGGAGACTATATGTTGGGTGCCTTGATRAATACTATCGACTGGTGCAAGTCGCTTTGAAAGTTTAGGTCTAGTTTTCGAGAAAATAAGCAGTAAACGATTTCTATGATGTCATCATTACGTCATAATGAAAAGTCCGCTTTAAACTAATTTATCATTTTTTAAAACCTTTAATCTTTTCCTGACAACGTGTGAAAAGCGCTTGCAGATCGAGTTATTCAAGACAAAGTTGTGGCCGTTTCAATTAATGCGGCTAGGTGTGCCAGACCAAAACTACCCACAGCCTCCTTAAGGCCCTAACACACGATTCAACTCGTCTGCTGCTTTTAAATAAAATTTGTTACGTTATATTCAGTTAACGGCCGACCGATTTCATTAACGAGAATCACTTTTTGACCTAGTCTCCTACGCAGCCGCTATTAGTGTCCAAGCGGGGAGTGAGCGTGGCGTGACGACACTGATAGCGGCTAACAAATGTTGTCGAGCGAAGGGTAGCGCGAGCTAGAAAGAAAGGAGAAACCAGAAGGAGAAGGAGAAGGAGAAGGAGAAGGAGAAGGAGAAGGAGAAGGAGAAGGAG